CCGCAGTCGCAATCGCAGCCGGGATCGGGACCGCAGTCGCAACCCGGACCAACGACGAGACGGCTGATTGGGGAGAACGCAACCTGGAAAGGAATCCGGGCGACGCTGACACGCGATTACGTGCCATCTGCCTACCGCGGCCGAGCAGCGATCATCCTGGCAGGCTCCGAGAGCGATGCGTCGGCGGCGATCTATGCGCTCCGCAGTCTCGCGGTGGGATCGATTTACACGGTGGGGTTCCGGGCGACGGGTCCGCTGGCGGCGGGACTGGAACCATTCACCTCGATCCAGTCGGTGAAGCTGGTGGAGCAGCCGTTTGTGATGGTCTCGGCGCTGCCGCCCGAGAAGTCGCTCCTAGTGCAGCCGCTACTACGGCACTACCGGAGCAACGGGCGCACGTCGCCGCGGTCGACGCGAGGCAAAGTGTACCTGGATCTGACGGCGAGTTCGGGGGAGCGCAAGGGGGATCCGGTGGGCGTGGCGGTGAGTGCAGGCTGGACGGCGTACGGGATTGATGAGGTGACGGCGTGGACGACGGTGGAAACGATGCGGCTGCTGGTGGGACAGAACGTGCCGTTTGATTTTGTGCGGATGGCTTCGGGAAGGATTTATTAGATGCATTACAATTCTTCATATTGAATCATACGAGTCACATCTATCTACTATCAATCTACGTACCATAGTTGCGATGGCTTGTCTGTCTTGGCTGGAGTAAATAATGTGGGGAACCCCGGTATGTGTATGTGTAACCGCCGGTATTTCGGAGAGTGGCCGGTATTTTTGGCTACAGCGTTCAGGCACCTCCAGTGTCTCCCACTCCCTGACTGGTAGACGAGTCGAGATGGTACTCCGTACCTATATTCACATGCAGAGAACGGAGTACCCGGAAGTAGAGCTAGTCGAACAAGCTATGACTATTCTGTATGATGCCTTGACGATCGGAGGCGCTTCTGCAAAGAGAAAAGAGACTTGTGTGACAGTGATGTGGAGAGTGTGAGACATTGATGGACCTGGTTTTATCGGGTCAATGGCTGAAGAATCGTGCCAGGGGATGATGGCCTGCAGATGCTGACCTCGTGTCGTTGTCTAACTAACTACTGCGTACTGCTTAGGGACTAGGTCCAGGAGGTCCGTCTCGAATGGAGTAAAAGGCCAGTGGGCTACAGGACGGCAGTTCGGACCGTGATGGAGCGAGAGAGAGAGGTTAATCTATTCTGTGGAAGCGAGGCGAAACTGAAGAGCCGATGAAGAAATGATCGACTTCCCCGGATTCTGTGGTCTGCCTGCTTTGGGCTGTGTCTCTGTAGATGGATACTACTCTGTCGACTGTTGACTCCCCACGCTCCGGTGGCACAGAGTGATATTAGATATTATCATCTCCAGGCGAACGCTAAATGGACGCTCTGGTTAAGTTGGTTCTGCACTACTTTAGCTGGTTTCTGGCTGAATCATGGATCTAACCGTGAATCGTCTCTGGTCCGACACTAGACAATCCTCCGTCCTTCATCTCCATCTCCAGATTCCCCACCCTTGGGGATTCTCTCCTCATGCTTCGTATTTCTTCCCTCTTCCTGCTGCTGCGATCTAGAACCACTACTGCACACTTGTCTAAGATCTCCAAGCCTGGCGTGTATTTTTCGCTTTCGCTTTTTAAACTACCGAAAGTCTTGAGGTCTTGGACTGATCCCTTCCTGATCCTGATACTGATCTTGCGTCTTGAGTCGGCCACCTACCTTAATTTAACTGATCCTCATCCTTTTCCTCTTTCTTCTCTTCCTCTTCGCCCTCTTCCCTCTTCCTCCGCTTTCTTTCTCTCTTTCTCTTTCTCTGTCTCGGTCTTCCCCAATGTCTTGACCAATCTTTTTGAGTCTCTATTCTATCTATCATCAATTCATCATGTCCTCCGCTATTACTCGCCCCGCCGTCAGCATCGACCGGCTCACTCCCCGCCGAGTCACTGCCGAACCGCGCGAGTCCATGAACTGCAAATCCTGTCGAAAGCGAAAGGTAAATACCTTCCCCTGACTACAAGATCCAATTCTAATTGGCAGATTAAATGCAATCGTATGCGGCCCAGCTGTGAAGCATGCAAGGTCTTCCAATGCCCATGCATCTACGGTATCTCCCCTCATACCACCGGTTCCCCGTCATGTGTTTTGAGAGCCCTTGCTAACTGGCATAGATGCCGTCCCCAAAAAACGCGGCCCCAAAACAGACGTCCTCGAAGCCCTGCTCAAGCGTGTCGACGGTCTCGAGAAACGTCTGCAGGATGAAAACAAAAAGCCCATCTCGCCCACCTCCCCCAGCGAGCCGGACAAGGAACCTCCTGATCCGTCGGCTTCGATGCACGCCCTAGCCCGCGCATCCACCTCCAGCACATCCACTACCAACATCCCCCCATCCGAGCCTTTCCCCCGACCATTCTCCTTCCCCTCGCAGCCGTCGCCTCCCGTGCATCACTTTGCCCTGCCAGATTCCCTGTTGGATGCGTACTTTACCCGCATCCACGGCAAACCCTACTTCATCCTGGACGAGTCGGTAACCCGTCAGAGTCATCAGATGGGGCAATTGCCTGCCGCTTTGTCGATGGCCATCTACGCCATTACCCTGCGGTTTGTTTTTTTTCCTGTCCGTGCGTCTAGTTTTGAGTCCCTGACCATTGCAGATATACAAGCTCGCCCAATACCCCCCAGCAGTCCCTTCGAATGGCCCTGGATTATGCCCTGCAGGCCCGACGCATGGTGGATCTCGATCAACCGACCATGGATGGGCTGCAGGCCCTGCTTCTACTCTCGCAGACATACTTTGCCCATGGTCTGGGCAAAAAGGCCTATATGACGTTCAGTATGCCAACCATCGCCTCCTGAAAAGACGGGATATTGATTGACTGTACAGCCAACTGTGCCTCCATGGCCATTGCTCTGGACCTCTACCGCGAGCCCCCGAAGAGCCTGTCCGCTGCGGACCGCGAAATGCGACGCCGGCTCTTCTGGGCCGTCTACATCATGGACCGCTTCCTGACCTGCGGCTCGAAACGGCCCGGGCTCATTGCCGACCACTCCATCGTCCTGCGGCTCCCCGCTTGGTCCCCGCATGCGGCCGGACTCAACGTCGAGGGGGAGCTCTTCAACACCGTCGGCCCCAACATCCAGTACTCGAGCGACCCGCGCCGCAAACCCGGGGCCACCGCCCTCCTCATCGACATCACCCGCATCCTGGGGATCACCAACCGCTACCTGGCCGCCGGCGGCGTCAAGGGCGACTCGCACTTTCCCTGGCACTCGCTGTCCAACCTGTCCAAAATCCGTCAGGAACTGGACATCTGGGCCACGGGCACCCAGGACGTTTTTGCTTCCGTGGAAGCCCTGTTCGGCCATCCCGAGAGCTCCATCCTGCTGCTGAGCAAGCTCATCTATCATCTGGTCCACTGTCTGATCTATCGCCCGTTCCTGCCGATTGACCTGGTCGAGCTGCGCGGCACCGGCCAGCACCAGTCCTGGCAGATCGAGGCCACCAACCTGTGCTTTTCACACTCCAACGCCATCGCCGAGCTCGTCGAGCTGGCCCGCAATTCCCCCCTGATCGAATGGCCCGCCTTTATCGGGTACTGCGTCTGCACGGCGGGGACGGTCCACGTGCACGGCGTGCACTACAAGGGCCGCGAGGGCGAGGTGTTCTCGTCCAGTGCCGAGTTTCTGACTCGGGAGATGCACCAGCTGACCTGGCTGGGGTCCTACTGGGCCGGCGTCCAGCATCAGCGCGAGATGCTGCAGACCATCTACACCTGCCACGCCGAGCTGGTCCGCACGCTGGCCACCAGTCCGATGCGTTTTTCGCCTGTCTTTCACCTGGAAGACTTTCTGGATCGGTATCCCGGTCTGACGGCCGACGGGTCACACGTGCGCTTGGTCGATCTGGATGATACGTAGGTTTGCCTGTCCTTTGCTCTGCCACAGGAATGTGTGATCTGACCCACTGTAGCCCCCAGTTGGATCCGTACTACCGACCCCTGAGCGCATATCCCATGTACCATAACCAACCGCCCCGCGCGCCCGTCACCCTCCCATCCAACCACAGCCCGTCGCCGCGCCGCGACTCGCACAGCACCACCAGCACCGCGACCAAGCCGCCCGGCGTCTCGTCCCCGTCGCTCACCTTTCACCCCTCGCAGCATCCCCACCCCTCGCCGCAACTACAATCGACGTTCACGCTCGGCAACGCCGACCTGACCCACTCGGAGGCCAGCAACGGCCAGCATCACCACCACCACCACCACCCCCATCCCAATCACCATCCCCACAACAACAACCATCACCATCACAATCACAATCACAATCACAGCTTCTCCCCACCACCCGCATCAGCCATGTTCGGCTTCTCGCCGCCCGCCTTTCTGGCCGAGTCCCTGCACGTGGCGCCCACTCCGCCCTCGCACCCGCAGTACGCCACCTTCCCATTCGACAGCAGCAACAACAACAACCATCAAAACCACACCGGCCAAACGATCAGGACGCCCGGCGCGCAGTCCCAGGCCAGTTCGTCGCATACGGCCGGCGGCGCCGGCGGAGGCAGCAGCGAGGCGGGCTCGATCGAGAAGGATCCCTTCCTGAGTCTACTGGAGCAGTTGGCGGAGAACGAGCAGAATTCCGCGGGGGGGCCCAGTGAATTGGATTTCTTCCTGGGGGGCGTGGATGTCGAGGTCGGCGAGAAGGAATAACCGTAGCTACCTGCCTAGTGGCACAGCACCTCGCTGGTATTTGTGAATACGAATGGTGTACATATGATGCATAATGTTATGATACCCCAATAATCAATCGATTTATCAAGCACCAGCCAGTCAGAGTAATACCTACATACATTACCCCAGATTGATAAGATATGGAGCTACGTCATCGACTACCACACCACCCTACACTACATCAACCGAGACCAGAAAGACAAGAAAGACAAGACGAGTAAAAAAGACAACATGAAACGAATGTCTACAGTAAACCCCCACAATGCAATCTAAATCGGAAAATCAACCATCCTGGCCCTCCATCCTCACCACCGCAAAACACACCCCGCGCACCTCCACACCGAAACCCGATCTCCCCTCCCACGAGCAACAATCCCTCATCGACTCCCTGCGGTCTCTCCCCCTCACAAACCCTTTCTCAGACTCAGACTCAGACTCAGACGCAGATCAATCGCAATCGCAATCGCAACTGGGACTAAAAGCCGCCATCGCCGATATTCTATCCGACTACGAGGACGAGGACGAGGACGAATCCTCCTCAACCTCAACACCAACCGAAAAAGAAGAATGGGAAAACCTCCACGCCTTCCTAGCATTCATCACCAAAGAGCGCATCGTGCGGTTAGAAGATGTAGGGATTCATACCTTGAGGGTCGCGCTGGAGAGGGGTGAGCACCACCACTATCATCACTATCAGCAGGGTACTACTGGTGTTGGTGTGCCCCCCGGGACGGGGAAACGGAAGAAGATGGCGGTGTTTGTCTCCTGTGCGGCCATCTGGGCGTTGATCATGGGTGAGGAATTGTGGGAAAGGAGGCGCGCAACCGAGGAATCCCCCGTGGGATTATCGCTGTCCCCTTCGCCGCGCGGGTCTGGTGCTGCCGGGCCCGCCGCGGCCACGGTCTCCAAGAGCCGCTGGCAGATGTGGATCGATCGGTTCCAGTTTCTCAGTCTGGCCGAAGATCTGGACATCAAGACTAGGGAATTGGCTGCCGAGGCCGCTGCCGTGATGCGTCGGGTGACTTAAAAAAAACGTCTTTATATACGAGTGGTATCTCATCCCCTTGTATATACATCTAAGATCCATCTGCCTATGCATACAATGCGTCAACCGAATCTGATTCCGTCGCTGGGATCCCATTGCCCCGGCTGCCCTCGGCTGTTCCCTCCCCCGAACCGGATCCCCATCTCTGGCGACCACATGCCAGGCGTCGGAACCGCGGGCGGTGCCACCGGTGCTCGAGTCGGTTGCGGCGCCGTCAGCGGTTCTTCCGGTGGACGTGACGGTTGCATCTGAACCGGCGGCTGAACGGGTGCTGGGGGTGACGGTAGTTGTGCTGGCTGCGGTGGCTGTGGCTGCTGTCGGAGGTGAGGTTGCGAGATATTCAGTGAAGCCATCGCTGCAGCACTGGCAATATCACTTAAATCGATCAGTATCACACCTCAAACAAGTGACAAGGAGAAATACCTTTCTAGTTGACTCGCCTCCATGCGGCGCTGGTGCACAAACGCCTTGCAGTCATCCCGGAACCTCGCCACAATCTTGGCCAGATCGTTGTAGAACTTCCGTCCCACTTCAATGTTCGAGATGATCTCCTTATACTTCAGGTACCCGTTCTCCAGCTCCTGCAGCGCCTTCTCCCGCTCCTTGGTCGACGCATCCCCCTTGTGCGCCCGCGTGAACGCCCGGTTGGCTTCGCGCACCTGCGCCGCAATCTGATCTTGATCATGCTGCTCCTGCGCAACCATCTCCACGTCCGTGTCGTACAGATGAAGCTGCTCCTCGAACAGATCCTCAAATTGGCTTGCTTGGATCGGCTGCATGGGAAACTCCCGCTCCAACCGCGCAGTCTCCTTCAGAAGCGCCTGCGTGATATCATCCCCCCGAGCCTTCTCCTTCAACGCCTGCGCTCGCCGCTTCCTTCGGCTCTCCAACCGACTCACTTCGCTCAGGCATCCCCGCAGCCGGATCAACTCGCGCTCCACCTCCGGCGGGATTGCAGCGCGCCGGCTGCTGGGAACGTACATCTCCAGGTCGCGATTGGTGCCTGTGAGTATCCGAAAGACCGCCTCCGAGTCCCGTAGCTTCTGCTCCACGAGATTGTCGCTGCTTTGCGCCGACGTAAAGTACCCGCGGATCTCGCTTGACGTGGTGTACAGTTTCGGCGCCGCCGCCTCGGACGTCTGCCGGGTCCATCGATCGGTCCCGTATTTCCGCCGTGAAGCATCATCCTCCGCCTGTTCGGCCGCCAGCAGCTCAACGCCTTCATTGTAGACCGCCTTGTCGTTGGCCTTGACCTTGGCTATATCTTCAAGCGACCTCCGCAGCCGGTGCAACCCGTCCTGCTGTCGCATCTCCTCGGCGTGAGCTACCAGCGTGGGAGGCAGTCCAAGGGGCTTCTCAAGCGCCTGCAAAGATCCTGGCAAGTTCAGCGATGATAGCAAGCTAAATAAAAGTCAGCCTTATTCCACTTAAAAAGTTGCCAGCCATTGAAGAGTTGCCAAGAACGTACTCCCGTAGTTTGTCCGTCATGGTCTCCAATTCCCCAATAATTTTCTCGTTGACCAGGCGGTCGCGGCGGTCCGAGTAGATACTGGCCGCAATGTGAACTGCATATGGCACCAGTTTGGCAAACAGCGGCTGCCCCAAGGGCCCGTTCTCCCCCAGCATGGATATCGCGTCCGTCACCTGAGATGGCGCCTTGGCCGCAACCATACACGCCCGGTCGATGATCTTGAGCTCCGACTTTGGAGGCACAGGGTTGAGATAGATGATATCATTGTCCTTGGTCGCCCGCTTAAGGTCCTCCGACACACGGCTCTTCAGCCCATTGAGATCCCCCAGCACGGCCCGGTTTATCCAGCGAGACTCCTTGAGCGCCTCGTTGACGCACGCCTCGCTATCCCGCAGGCGCGCCACTTCCTCGCCGTACTTCCGCTTCTCCAGGCAGTCCAGCGACTGCCGGTATTGCGCCGCGGCTGCAAAGTGATGGTGCTTGGCCGTCATGTGGTGGATCCACTCAGGGCTGATCGCGTTGGACTTGACCGCGTAGTCGCCGGCCTCGGCGTAAAAGTCAGAAACCTTGGCCGCCAGCCGGGCGATCGATGCATCCTTCAGACCGTCCTTGACGGCCTTTTGCCAGAAGCACTCCTGTGCCTGGGCCAGAAGAAGTTGCTCCAGACTCTGCAGGGTCATTTCGTCCATATCCTCGGGCGGGGACGTTCGCAGGTCGGGCAGGATATCGGCTCGTAGGTGCAGGAGAACCCCGGCAGACTGGCAAAAGTAATTGCATGCCTGCTTGAGTCCGTCGGAAGTCGTCCGGTTAACCGAAAAGGCTAGCTGGGAGTATAGCGCCGCCAGATTGAAAAGGATGTTGACCAATTCAAAGCGAAGGTTATTCTGTGAAACTTGACGGAGCTGTCAGTGCTTGCTTGTCCTTGGTATACCACTGTAATCACCTACTAGGTCTTGTCGTATTGAATCCAAATGCAGGATACCATGGAAATTCCACCCCCACCTGTCACCCTCAGTCAGCATGCCGTACACGCAGATATCTTGTTCCAGTACACTCACATCGACCGGAAACTTCCCACCCAGCCATTTCAGTTGCGCCGCATACGTGACCAGTCGACTGATTCCACTGACATGAGGCTCCTGGACATTGATCGCCTCATTTCGCAAACGGTCGATGATCAAGAGATCATCTGCGAACATATCCGGTCGCTGGTCATATTTGGACGAGATGTATTGAGTGATCGCATCGGACAAGGAGACGGCGTGGGAGTGCCGAAATGGAACCTGAAGGATATTGCTAAGGAACACATCAGTAAAAACGCATCACTGAAAAGGTTTCAGCAGCACGTACGACGTCATTGTGGCAGTTGAGGCATGGGAAGCATCGCAGGCAAAGAGGCCGCCGTTGGGAACTTTTTGTTGACAAGAAGACGCCCAACCCCGCCCTGCCTGGCCTGGCAACGGGATGACGTCCTTCTGCCTGAGGCAATACACATCCGTCCTTTAATACTTAAGAGGTTCTATTTTTTGATACCATTGATTCATTCATCCTGGTATTTGCTACGAGCTTCTAGCTCATGTATTTATGTACTCGAAACACAAGCCCAAACCTCGCAAGAAATATAATGCATATCCCAGTGCCCCAAAGACCAGCTTCGTTGTTTGTAAAAAAAATAAAATCAACAATGCAATTTCCGCTAGCCCTCCAGCTGGTTGATCCGCATCTTGATGTATTCGAACATACTCAGGAGAATCATATTGTTGACTCCCGTACGAATAAGAATGATCGATAGACCTTTGTACATACTCGACTTGGAAACAGCCGCTGATGCCTCGCCCACCTCCTTGGCCTTGCCAAGCAGCACGCTCTGGGCACGGGTCTTGCGGGTATCAAGTGGATAGGTCTGGCAAAGGTTAGCAACTGACCGTTTCATTAGAACAAAGAATTGCCTTACGCAGAACCAAGGCACGGTGCTGCAAATGGCACCGGCAATCATGGGACCTCCAAAAGGAGACTTGTCCGGTCCGAGTTCCCTTGCCGCGACCTGCTTGACGGTTTCGTAGACGCTGAAATACAGGCCGGATCCAATTGTATCGCGCATCGCATGGAGATGGAAACCCGTGTACAAGCCGCGAAGCCCGTAACGACCAACAATCTGCCTGATCGCCTCGATGGTGCCGAGACGTGGTTGATGGCGCAGAGATGGGTCCCGGACCGCATCGGGAGACGCCTGAGCACGATGAGAGACCAAGACCGATGTCTGCACAACATTCTTGGCCAGCTCAAAGGGACCTACCGAATCAGCCATTGTAGCGGGTTGAACTCAATCGTGAAACTTACATGCAAGCGGAGAGGTGATGAGGCCTGCAATGAAGCCAGCGGTAGTAAAGGTCAAAAGAGTGGACACAGTGGGACTGCTGCCTGGCGTGTTGTAGGTTGCCAGAGGAGACTCGCCGGTAATTCTCTCGACAAACTCGGAGATGCGGTGTTTGGCGACATTGTACGTGGAAAAATTCACGACACGGACCGCGGTGACACTTGCCAGAGGAGGCAGAGCTCCTGCATTTCGAATATTAGATCCTGTGTTGCGTAGAACTCGAGCGATGTCAACCTACCAGCGACGTAGCCCCGTGGCCCCTCCGTACGCCAAAGGTAGCGAACGCATTGGGAGACATTTTGGAAGTTGTGCCTGCTCCGGTCAATTCTGCCCTCTCCCTTCTTGCAGTGAATTTTTCGGGGGAAAGTAACATACGTCTGCATACGGGTCTTGATATTCTCAAGAGGAGTCTTTAGAGAACCAGACATATCAGTATCCATCCCTGCCAGGTCGACAGTCGATAATCCGAACTTACCACAGAGAGAGTCGCGCAGATTGTCGACGTCGCCGACGCCACCTGGGTTTTGTATTTCTTCAAGAATTTGTTGCGTGTGGCATCATCCATAGTCCAGGTGTTGTCCGCTGGCATTCTGGCAGTGGAAGATTGTGGAGGTGAAGACACAAACGGTGCATGTTCAGTGTGTTTGTCCAAAGTCATCCCTGAAAGTTGCCCATCTGGGGCAGAGGATAGAAGAGTTCTGCTACAATTAATTGCTTAGTCGCCAGGAGTCAGGTGGGACGCGCAAACATTCAATATCGTGAGCAGTAGGCTGGGGAACCCTATGGAACGCAAAGCGGTCTCTCAGGGTGCGAGCAGACCGTTCAGCGTCCCACAATTGTCCATGAAGCGGACTGAAACAGCCCTTGTATATGATCTTTCTTCCGTCTTTGAGGAGGGCCAGAGGAAAGGATGACCGGCAATGGAGGACGGCGAACAAGCAGAGCTTTGGCGACAATGGTGATCCACGGATCTTGGCCTGTCTACGGCATTCAACGGACGAGGCAATTCGATCGCACTATACCATGGCAGTGACAGAGCTTCAATCAGCAAGCCTTCTTCGACAACTCTCCCTTTAGCGGGCAAGAAAGAAAAATCTCGAAACTCGCATGGGGCGGACCATCCATAATCAAGCACTTACCTCGTGTGAAGTTGATGTCTCCTCTCCGGTGGAAATACCAGTTAGAATGGTCACCACTTGACAGAGTATGAAGAGGAGAGATCGCTAGAAGGGCAAACAGACAGCCAGACAACGACCCGTCCAGTCGTAAACTGAGTTGATTACTCCCACCAGTGACTAGCCTAGTTCAAACTCCGAACAGCAGCTAAACCTCAGGATTCGGGCAGGCATGTGGGCCGCTCCCTATGGTGGTGGATCACGGACTACTCGAAACGGCTTAGGGGCTCTGGCTCAGTGACGTCGTCGTGAAGCATCCAGTGCGCCTGTCTGGAGGATAGCGGCCGGGTACAGGGTCGCTTGCAGATCAATTCGTTCCTTCTCCTGCTTGAGAAGATGTTCTACAGTATACCAGCCGTTAAGCTGGAGCTACGGGCATAATTGCAGCTGAGCATTTCATAGCTCTTAGGAGGACTATCTAAAGGACTAACTCTCTATGGAGTAGCCACTAGCTACCTAAGGTAAGTATTGTCCACAATTGCCTCGCAGATTAACCAGTTATCATGCAGAACTGTATTCAAGAGTCGATGTGGCGGTCGTGGCAAGGGAGATGCTGCTGCGGACCAGGCCAGTCTCGTGCTAGTTGCGTTTACCCCGCCCTATCCAGCAGCCATTTTGATTGGCTCGATATTGGAAAAGGGTGTGCTCGGACTACTGTAAGTAGGTGGGCCATTCTGATTCCTCAGGCATGGATCACTGGACAGTATCAGGCCATTGCTACTGTCAGAGAATACATTGATGAACCTGGTACAGACCCTTCTATAGAAGACGAAAAAGCTGCTGTACCTCGTATGAGTGTATTTATCAGACTGGAGCACGAGCAGAGTTTCCCAAAGGGTGACGCTACCTAGTTACCTACAAGTGGGATCATCGAACAGGCACACATGTCAATGATGGCATTGTCTCGACTTATTAAAGACGTCCCTTGGATCAGTGGGGAAGATCGTCTGATGGTTCATGGAATTTTTGCGAAGTTGCCCTTATAGATCTGTTTCTGACAAAGATCAATGATGATCGACTAGTCCATTCAGCGCAGATACCATTGAGTAGTGCATATGAAGTCGGGAATTCGGAGCTTGGAATAGTAGTCTATCTGAAATATATTCATCCCCTAGCTCGCTAAAGCGGATGACTGTCTCTACAGAGCACATGGTTAGAAAATGCCAACATAACACACATACCTACTTCCACTGTCCATGTATTTCTCCTTCCTTGCTGCTCTCTTTTGAGCTCGGATATCCTCCATGCCTCTACAAGTTTGCTTCCATGCTGCTTAGGCTTCCTGTAAGGTCTTCACTACTTATAGCTCCTAGCCCCCATCACCTTCCAATGGGCTGAGCATTAACAGAATACAGCTTTCCTTTGCTTATGACCGCAACTGTCTTTGTGATAGACCCTTGAGCTTAGAATACTCATGTCTTTGAAGGTCCTCAGTGCGGAAATGTGTTAATTCGCCCCGAGCTCATCTCCATTCACGTGCGGTACGGCATCGGCTGCCTTCATTCTTATTTTATCCCAAGCCGATCACGGATATGGACATAGAGCAAAAAGAAAAAATCCGGATATGCAGGGACAATCATATGAACCATACGACTACCACAGTGCCATACATATCCTCTTTATGCACTCTGATGGATGCATGGCGCATGATCAACCAGATATCCTCGGGACCTCGGTCGCGGCAGCAGCTTATCCCCCGCAATCCAATGGGGATGCTTTCAAACAACAACAATTTTTCTCCGCATTCGCGCAGCTCTCCACACGTTCGCAGACCGCAAATGTTATATCTATGACATTCATACCCTTCCCTGCTCTGATGCTCAATACCTTCAATCTTGTATCTTCCAAGGACACAGCATTTACCTACCCCCGGAGGCCCACCTAATCAGCATGGGGAAGAAGCAAGCAGCGCCCGCCTACGTCCTAGGCGTGGGCATGACCAAGTTTATCAAGCCTCGTGGCAAGGTCGACTACCATGAACTCGGATTTGAGGCCGGTGTCAAGGCTATGCTGGACGCTCATATCAATTACGATGATGTCGACCAAGGCGTTGCATGCTACGTCTATGGTGATAGCACTTGCGGTCAGCGTGTCTTCTACCAGTTCGGTCTGACCAACATCCCCATCTACAATGTCAACAACAACTGCTCAACCGGCTCAACCGGTCTGGCCATGGCTCGCACCATGGTCTCCCACGGTGCTGCGGACTGTGTTCTTGTCATTGGTTTCGAGAAGATGAGCCCTGGAAGCTTGCAGTCGGTCTATAACGACCGGGCCAATCCGACTGGTCTCTTCGGTATGATGATGGCTGAGACGAGGGGAATCACCAACGCCCCCGGTGCTGCACAGATGTTTGGCAATGCTGGTCGGGAGTACATGGAGAAGTATGTTGGAACCATACTATATGCTCTATCATTTACCCTGCCGTACTGACTTCCTCCAGGTATGGAGCCAAGAACGAAGACTTCGCGGAAATCGCTCGTATCAACCATGAACACTCCAAGCGCAACCCCTACTCGCAGTTCCAGGATGAATACACGCTCGAGCAGATTCTCAAGGCGCCTATGATTCACGAGCCACTCACCAAGCTGCAGTGCTGTCCAACCTCGGACGGAGGTGCTGCTGCTGTGATCGTCTCCCAGGCATTCCTGGACGCTCGCCCCCATCTCAAAGAACAGGCGATCCTGATCGCAGGTCAGCAACTTGCAACGGACACACCCACTCTCTACAACAAAAGCTCGATCGACCTGATGGGCTTTGGGATGACCCGCTACGCCTGTCGGGCGGCCGCTGCTGAGGCTGGCGT